AATACAAATGACTAATAATTTAAAAAAAACTGTTCAATTTCACTGGCAATCAAAGAAATGCATATGACACAACAAAGAGTCACAATCTTTTGCTTTCAGCCAAGATTTCAAAGATGAAAATGCTCATTATAACTTAGGGTGTGTTCAGCTAGCCCGTCAGATGAGGTGATTTCCTATGATTATCTGCGTTTTATAGGTGTTGAAATTGAAGCTCAGTCCGGCTCAGTAATTTGTCCAAGCTTATATTTCTTTAAGTGGTGGCGCCTGGATTTGAACCTGGGCTGTGGGAGTCGGCTAGGGAAAGGAGCAGAGATGCCTGGGGGGATGTGTGGATATTTATAGTGTCTGTGTGGGAGGGTGAATGGGCTCATGCTGCAGAGGGAAATGACACCAAGAACCAGTCGTAAAGCAAGAGCTGTCCCTAAGGGACTTGGGAGGTCTGAGCTCACAAGGTCCTGGAGGGAGCCATGCAGAGGAAGAAAGGGGACCTTTCATCTAACCCTAAAGTAGGCTACAGTGGGTGCGTTGGGTGGCCCTGTCTTCTGGGAGAGAAAACACAGCCCTCCATGTCCTGGCCTTGTGCTTACCAGTTTCTGTCTTTTCTCTGCCACCGACAGCTAGCTGACCCTGCCCTTTCCTTCTTGGACCAAATGACCTGGCCGTGGCTCTTCAGAGTTTTCACTGCCCTCCTCCCAGTGTGGCAATCCTGTGTGGCAGGAAGCATAAACTTGCCAAACTCTGTGGGTCAGGGCAGAGGGAAGGAGAGTGGAGCAGCCCATCTGCCTTCCCCTTTGCCCTCTCTCCCCGAGTCTTGCTCCTCCTTGGGGAGGGGAAGGTAGAGAGAATCGGTCCAGACAGGGCGGAGGGCTGGGAAATGGAGGAAACAAACCCATTCAAGGAGATTGACAATGTATGTTGTAGTTTGGCAAAGAAATCTTCATTTGCAAAGCACTTGGGGAATACATTCCTTTTCCTTCCAATTTTTGGGCCACACCCAGCAGTGCTCAAGGCTTGCTCCTGGTGGTGATCAGGGACTGTGTGTTGGGAACTGGGACCAAATTCAGGCCTCCCACATGTGAAACATGTGCTCAGCTGCTCAAACCATTGAGCGCTCTCTCGGGCTCTAAGGAGAATCCATTCTTTTTCTCTTTTCTTTCTTTCTTTCTTTCTTTCTTTCTTTCTTTCTTTCTTTCCTCTCTCTCTCTCTCTCTCTTTCTTTCTTTCTTGACATTTAACTTGTTATAACGTTTCTTCACAAATGGTGAAAAATATTAACCTACAGACAAGGAATAATCATAATGTTGTGACCAACATTATAAATATGGGATTATACATTTAAAACATTTTCTGGTTTAAAACATAAATCCGGTAGTCAATACAGCTCCTCTTCGGACGATCTGCCTCTAGTAGGGCTGGTCTCTGTGCTCCTGACAGTACTTGCCTTGATCCATTTTTCCAGGGTCTCCAGGGCCGTCTCTGGAGAATCCATTCTTAGAGGGGTAGCTTTACCCTGTAAACCTGTTTGCCTTTTTCACCTCTCAGCTTCTTCACTTAAAAAAGTGGGTCTGCTATATTGCAAACCACAACACCCAAAAGGAGAGAGAGAGCAAAAGGGAATGTCCTGCCACAGAGGCGGGGTGGGGTGGGGGGGATGGGGTGGGGTGGTGGGAGGGATACTGGGATCATTGGTGATGGAGAATGGGCACTGGTGGAGGGATGGGTACTCGGTCATTGTATGACTGAAACATAAGCACGAAAGTTTGTAAGTCTGTAACTGTACCTCATGGTGATTCATTTAAAAAAAAATAAGTGGGTCTGACAACACTTTCTACTCTATTGCTTTTGTATTAAGTGCTTAGGGGATCAGCAAACGAGTTTGAGGGCAAGTGCTGCAGGCAGCTTCCACTCAGACCTGCTAGGACTTTATTTCCAGTTAGAGACTTGGGGGAAATTAAGCAAACTCTTTGTGCGTTGGTTACCTCATCACTCAAGCTGAAGATGCAAGAGATGCTGTCTTAGTTGTCTTCAGATATAACTGGGATCATATTTATATTTCTAATATTTATAATTTTTATATATCATATATTTATATATTATAAATATATAATATTTATATTATAGTAAATGGTAGACGTAGGAGTTCAAATCCCACAAACCAACCCCTTTTCCTGCCTCACAATCAAAATACAGCATAATAGCTTAAAGACTAGAAAGAAACAGAAATTTTCACTAGAGCTTCTTTCTGGTTGGTGAGATTATAACCTACTTTTATTTCTTCTTATTTACTTTCTTATGCTTTTATAAATTAATTTTTAACAGGAAAAGTAAAGGAAATTTTATTAATAAATGTCCTGGGTCAGGGATATAGCTCAAAGGGGCTTGAGGAAGGAAGCACCACCAAAAATAACCCCACCACATAAGGCAAAGGGAGTAACCCCTATGCACTGCTGGGTATGGCTCAAAATTAAGAAATATAGTCACATGCTATCATTAAATGGCTTAGCTAGGATAAGACTTTTGGAAGAAGAAAGGGAAGGTCAAGTTTAGGAAGGTTAACCAAAAAGAGAAAGAAAAACAATTTAAATTCTTCCTTCTCCACTGATCAGATCTTCCCTGGTAGATGGCCTTAAGGAAGATGTGCAAATGTGTAACTATGTCTTTATAGATAACTTCCATTCTGCCTGCAGGGCCCTGCCCATGAATTAACTTTTTGCTAAAGACATACTTGGGAGTAACAGATTTTTTGCTCCCCTTTGTCCTACCTTTGGCATATCTTGAGACATTCCACCATTCACTAGTTGATTTGTACAGTTATTTCTTAGAACTGGTCTCACAGTGTTGAGAATAGATAAATCCAGGTCAGTTCCACATCCTTGTTGCAGTGGGTTCCAAAGTTGAGATGAGACCAAGTTACTTATATAACCAGGGGGGAAAAAGTTGCACACGATGCCTTGTGGTCATTTGTGATGGGTGCCACTGCATTAAAGAGGTTGGCATTACTTTCTCACGCAATCTTCTCAGCACCTGTTTGAAGGCAGGGGTCATGATCCCTTTTTATGGAGGAGGAACTGAGGCTAAGAGGTCAGAGATCTGACTGAACTTCAGGGCCTGTGGGTGCTGAAGGGCAGAGGGCCCAGATCCCTACCCGGGTCTGCCTCTCTCCAAAGAGAGGTGCTGTCTATAGGGACACAGGTTTTGAGGGCTTGTGCCCGCAACTCTCACCCCAATCTTCTGACGATCATTTAACATGGGGGACTGTCAGAATGAGACTGAAGTTAGATGTGCTCTCAGGGGTCTCCTGTGTCCTGGTTTCCTCCATTAGAGCCTTGGGAGGGTCGGGGGAGGAATATGGTCCAGGAATATGGGATTTGGGCATCCTTATTTCATTGAGTCTGGGAATGCCACGAGTGCATGGAGAGTGTCTCCAAGAAGAAATAAAGGGTTCAACCATAAAGATGTCTAACAGAGGGCTGAAAATTAACAAGAGTGAGGGAAGGAAGTAGGTGTGAGTTAAAATCCCGGAAGATAGTAGATAGTGGCCAGTCTCAATTCAGTCATAACTTTGTAAACGTTTTATATAAAAACAGTAGTTAACTGAGGCTGTAACTCTCTTGGAGGGATGAACAGAGGGAATTTTTTGATTTTCATTATAAGTATTTTTATTTAATTATACTTATTTTTGGTTTGGGGCCACACCCAGCAGTGCTCAGATCTTACTCCTGGATCTGCACTCCAGGGATCACTCCTAACATTGCTCATTTCTAAGGGGACCATATGGGGTGCGGGGGATTGAACTTGGCTTGGCTACATACATGGATGGCAAGCACCCTAGTTGCTGATCTATTGCTCTGGCCCCCTATTTAAATTTTTTTAAAACTACCATGTCCGTTGCACTTTATTAAAAAATTATTTTAGAAGTACAAGCTCTGTATGGATTTACATCTCACCCCCACCAATTACAGAACACAGGCAGGTTAACCTTTCTAAGCTGCAATTTTATTTGCTGGGAAATAGGGCTAAAAACCATAGTCAGCCCACAAGGGTGCTGTGAGGATAAAGTGAGGTAATGCATATTAAGTACACGAGCTGGCGCTAGCCGAAATGCAACATCTAGAACTATTAGCCATTGTTGTTTTTTGGAACAAACCAAGTAATACCTTGGACGATGCACACAGTCACATCAGTAGACACTTTGATAATGGGGTAAAAGCTATGGCTAAATGCATACCCTCACCCCAGCCTCTAATTTCCCCCAACTCAGGAACGCAGGAACCCCAGAACTCCGAGGGAGCCCTTAAATATTAATGTGGTTACTCATTTATTCATCATTCTGCACTCCGAGCAGCGTCCAAGGGCAAGCTCTCTGGCCTGAGCGCCAGCGCTGTCACCGCATCGGGGGTCCCGCCCGCGCTCGAGGCGATAGGGGCGGCACCGCGCCCCCCACCCTACCACCCCCCACCCCCGCCGCTTCCAGGTCGCGGACGCGGGGAGGGGGACCGTCACGTGGCAGAGCGGGACTCATCGCTCACGGCTTTCACGCGGGCATATAGATAGATTCGCAGGACCAGCACCCGCCCCGCTGGCCCCTCTGGGAGGCAGTGCCCACCGCGGGCCAAGAGACAGCTTTCCGGAACGAGGAGCTTATTTCGAAGGAAGATGGGGGGGGAGGGCATTGGCCGGGAAACTGGGGAGCGGGCATTTCAGACCCCACCCACCGGGTGGTCGCGCAGCCCTGAGACTAGGCGGGTGCAGGGTGGTGGGGGGGTAAGGTGGGAGTGGCCAGCAGGGAGCCCCGCCCACCCTCCTGCGGAGTCGCGCGCCGCGCCAGCCGCCCACTCCCGCTCGGGGCATCTCTCCGGGCGGCGTCGCGCGGGCCCAGGGGGGCGCGGGTCGGGGGCGCGGGGCGCGGGGCGCGGGCCGGGGACGCGGACCGGGCGCGGGGCGGGCCCGGGGGCGGGGCGCTGACGTCGCGGCGTGGCCGGCTCAGCCCAGCCCAGCCCGGCCCGCAGCGGCGGCGGCGGCGGCGCTCCCAGCCGGGCCGGTGAGCACCGTGGGCCGCGTGTCGCGCCCCCCGGCCTGCCCTCGCCCGCCGGACCCGCTTCCCCGCGTCATGGCCTTGGTGCGGGACGCCGAGCCGGCGACGGGGCCGTCCCGCTGGCTCCCCACGCACGTCCAGGTGACGGTGCTGCGGGCCCGGGGGCTGCGCGGCAAGAGCTCGGGCGCGGGCAGCACCAGCGACGCGTACACGGTGATCCAGGTGGGCCGCGAGAAGTACAGCACGTCGGTGGTGGAGAAGACCCCGGGATGCCCCGAGTGGCGCGAGGAGTGCTCCTTCGAGCTGCCGCCCGGAGCCCTGGACGGGCTGCTGCGGGCGCAGGAGGCCGACGCGGGCCCGGCGCCCTGGGCCGCGGGTGCGGCCGGCGCCTGCGAGCTGGTGCTCACCACCATGCACCGCTCGCTCATCGGCGTGGACAAGTTCCTGGGCCAGGCCACCGTGGCGCTGGACGAGGTCTTCGGCGCAGGCCGCGCCCAGCACACGCAGTGAGTGAGGGGCGCGGGCGGCGTGGGTGGGGGGTGGGCGCGGAAACGGTTAAGGACCTTGGCCGGGCGGGGTAGGGTGGGGTGGGTGGGTGGGAGGAGCGAGCGGGACACCCCCCCCCCCAACCTCAGAACCTCCTCGATGAGTCGGGCCGGTGCACCTTTTGCCTCGCGCCCAAGGGCGTAAACCGACAAGTTGGTTCTTTGCATTCCTGGGTCCCGTGTGCCCTGCCCTGTCCACCGCGCGCTCTGCGGTGCTTAGTCCACGGGAGTGGCCGGGGTGGGGGACGGGCGGTGATGGGGGTTCCTCGGGAAGCCTCAGGGTGGTCCAGCCAGAGGTGGCTTGGGAGTCGCTGGTGGACTCAAGTTGTGACTGGGATCCCGACGTTGTGGAGCCAGACACTTGACTGTGGGAACCCTCCAACGAGGAAAATCTTGGGGGTGGGGTGGGGTGGGTATTTCTGCTTCCTCGAACTGAAGGGAAACTGGGCATCAAGCACCCAGCCTAGGCCCGCAGGGCAGGGGAGAGGCCGCCAGGAGGAGGAGGAAGGTGCGGAGGCGTCTTCCTGGGCTAGACTGAACCCAGAGTGGGAGGTTCCCCGTTCTGCAGAGGGCAAGGCGTCCTGCCTCCTGCTGCACCGGCCACGGTGTCTGGAGACTGCCCTGTTGGACCTTGCGCTCCCCTCCCGGGACCCCCCACAGAGCAGGAGGGGCTCCTGAGCAAGTAAACACGCAGGCCGCCTCCTTCCAGTGTCCGCCTGTCCTGGCAGAGGTGGAGGCGGTGGCCTGGTTCACACTCGGTAGTTTCCAGCCCCGTTCCACCTCTGAGGTCCAGTGTTTTTGTGTGTGTGTGTGTGTGTGTGTGCGCGCGCTGTGTATGTGTGTTTTAAATCATTTATTTTGGCAGCTCCCAGTGCTCAGATCAAGGCTTCGCGTTTGGAGCCCCATTTCCTGTTTTGGATTTGGGCAGGATTTGGAAGCCAGTCCCCAAGGTTTAACAACCTGCCTTGAATCTTCTTCGATGGTGACCTGGGCTGGGGGCGTGGCATCTCTCCTGCCCCCTGCGGGAGCGAGAGAGGAAGGTGGGGATAGGTGCTGGAAAGGTTTGCCTGAGAGGGGTGGAGGGGCCTGGTGCAGACCCGCAGGACACAGGATTGGGAAGGAAAGGCATCTGACCTTGAATGTTTTCAAAATATGGGCAGGGGCAGGGCTTCGCAGCTCCTGTGGCCTGGGGTGGAAGCAGGTTATCACAGGCCGGGTTCCAGTTGCCTTCGCCTCCTGGCCTCCTGTCCTTCCCTCATGACTTGCTGTTTGGTTATGGGTGTGGGGTCATGTGGTCTCGCCTGGCCCTGTTTTATTTTGTTTTGGTTTTTTTCCTCCCGTTTTTTTCTGTCCTCGCGTTTCTGGCTCCAGGAGCCCAAGAAGGTGGTTCGGAAAGCTCCCCGCCTGGATCTCTCTGCTCTTGCTTTTTTGCTGAAGACTTTCCAGTCCCCAAATCCCTCCCAGCCCCTGAGCCTCCACTGCCCAAGCCACTCTGAGCAGGCTGGTGGAGGATACATCTGGGGGAAGTTGGGGGGCAGCAAACACACATGTCTGGGCGTTTGGGGAGGGACTTCTGTGAGGTCACTGCCGGGGCTGTGTTCTGGGTGTGTAATTTCGGTTTAGCTCCTGCCTTTGGTCTCTTCTGGCCTCGGGATCTTCCTGAGCAGAGCTGGCCGTGTCTGTAGGTCCAGGTGGCCCCGGTTTTCAGCCAAGGACCGTCGTCCCTTCCAGGGGAGTGCGACATGTCATTCCTCGCTCTGAATGGGCTCCTTAATCTACTTTTTTACAAGTCATTCTTTCCACCAGGCTTTTTCCACACCCACCTGGCTGCCTTTCCTCTGAAGCATGGGCCCGGTTATTTATAGAGTCGAGGCAGTGTGGGGAACAGAGGGAAAGTTTGAAGTGGATAGGCGCTGCCATGCGCAGGAGCTGACGCCCGCTGAGTTGGGAGGGGACCGCTGCCCAGTGCAGGCAGGGCTCCGGCCTGTGCTCCTGGCCGGTCCCGGATGCCCAGGGGTCTGCAAACCTGGGGGTCTGCACCCTGCTCTGAGGGAGAGGGCCAGGCCGAGAGGAAGGGTGTGACCTTGTCCACTTTGGAGTAAAGGAGGGCACATGTGGTATTGGCTCCTGAGCCCCGTCACCAGCTGCGATGGTTTGTAGGAGGGCAGATGCCACTGAGAGGGGGGCCAGCCTGGGGAGGGGCTGGGGCACGGTTTAGAGGAAAGGATGGCAGACTTGCAAGGTGCAGAATCTGGTCCCAAAGGGACTCCTAAGTGGCAAGTCGAGTAAGTTCTTGGAGCCTCAACTTTCTCCTCTGTAAGGGGGGTGGATTAATTAATCTTTCCCAAGGTGGATGTGTTGGGGGGGAGATGAGCAAGTGATGGAGAGAGGGGTGGGGGTGGCAGCTTTGGCCTAGGAGCTGTCCCTTGTCCTAGAAGATCCTCTCTCATTCTGGGGGATGCCTAGCAGAACTAAGAGATCAGGGAAGCCCCAGGACTGTGGGTGGAGGTACACAGTGGCCTGTGAGCGCTACTGGTGAAATGGGCTGGCCCTTTGAATCCCTCCACCGTCCTTTCTGCTTCTAGAAGCTGGAGAACTAGGACTGGGCTTGGGGGACCAGTGCAATCAGTCCCAAAGATAGGCCCAACTAAGCCTGCAGCCTTGCTAGGGGCTGGTCCCAGGGGAGGTAGGAGAGCCCAGTGGTAGAGGATCTAAGGCTGGAGCTTCATTCCCAGTTCTGCAGGCAAATTCTTGACTGTTTCCTCATTTCTACAAAGGTTGTGATACTCATCACAGACTTGCGCAGGTTAATAAGATAGCATCTGCAAAAGCCTTAGTGTAGTTCCAGGCACATGCAAGTTTGCAAAATATTGGTATATAGGGGCCCTGCTCTGTAGGTGCGGGTGGCTCCTGGAGCGGGCGATACTCCAACAAGCCTTTGATGCTCCTTGGTCAGTAGGGGTAGGGTAGGGCCGAGTGAGGGGTTTCACTGGAACCTTCCACCGATTGTAAGAGAGAATTTTCAGAAGGAAGCTAAACTGTTTTGGCCCTCTCCCTTGGTGAAGCCAGACTTCAAACATCATGGTTCGGAAAATTCTGAGATACTTTTTTCCACAATCTCTTTACTTTTTTGTTTTTTGAGATTACACCCAGCTGTGCTCAGGATTTAGTCCCAGCTCTGTGCTCAGGGATCACTCCCAGCAGCTGAAGGGACCAGGTGGGATGTCAGAGATCAAATGTGGGTTGGTTGTGTGCAAAGTAAATGCCTCACTGGCTGTGCTATTGCTCCAGCCCCTCTTTTCTGTCTTTTTTTTTTTTTTTTTTACCTCCAGCTCCCTCTTAGACATACCCCATCCGTGCTCTGAGCGGAAGAGAACAGTGCCTCTCTTGGGCTCAGATCGGTGTTCAAGTCTGGGTGCTTGGGGAGGCTGAGGCCAGGGGCTTGGTTTGAGTCGGGACTACTTGATTCTTTTGCATCACCAGGAGTGAAAGTAGTATGACTGTGGAGCGGCTGCCTGAGAGGCTTCCCTGGCCAAACCTGAGTCACTGGATTTTGGGGTGCCTCTGGGAAGCCCAGGGCCACAGAGGATGTAGGTTTGAGGCCAGAGTCTTTTGCCTGGCTGCTCACAATGGTCTGAGTCATCCTGGAGGACTTTGGGGTACTGGGAGAGACCACCAAAGGAAAGAGTTGGTCTCTGAGGGGTTCTACCCTCCCCTCAGCTCCCTGGCGGCCCCGTTAGTAGGTGCTGGTGCAGACCCCGCTGCCTTCTCCCTGGTCGGGTCCAGCTGCTCCTGTGGGAGCAGTCAGGTCCAGCAGGGCCTGCCGTGGGCTCCGGGCTGGCCCCAGATCTGGAGGGGGAGGCCTGCCCTGCTTCTGGGGAGTCTGCTCTGGCTGAAGGGAGGGCGTGGAGCTGGCTGGACCCTGTTATTAGGGTGCCCAAGCCGCGTCTCGCTGAGTGATGGGGGCAGCTTTTTATTGGGGTTTGCTGGAGCTGCAGGATCCCTGCATCTGGTGTGGGGGGGGTGGTGGCGGGTGGGGCGGTGAACCTTCTGCCCGGCCAGCCCTTGTGGCTTTCGGTTCCTTCTCCCCCCACCTCTGGCCAGCCAGGGACAGCGCCTCTGCTGCTGCAGCCGACTCAGCTGGCCGCCATCCCTGTGACCTTGAGGGCGGCCGCTTTCCTGTGATGCTAGAATGGCTGGGGTCCTCCCGCCTGGGCCCAGTGGCTTGTCTGGCCTTGTCCAGATGTTTCCCCTGCCGCCCCCACCCTGCCCCCGGGAGATAAAGGACACAATGACAGGAGCTCCCTGGGAATCGGTCCCTTTCCCAGCCGCTCGCGCAGAGTCAGTTCTCTGCAGGACGCTGTCGCCATGAAGCCGCTCGGCCCGTCATCAAAATGAGTCCTGGGGGGCGCTGGCAGCCCTGGGAGTGGGGGCACTGGCAGCCCTGGGGGGCGCTGGCAGCTCTGGCAGATGTTTTCTCTTCCTTAGGAGCAGGGAGAGCGGATGGGACCCAGGCATCTCCCAGGGGGGCCGTGAGCAGTGTCCCCCTCCCCCCCCGCCCCCTTCCTAGGGGGCTGCACTTCTGAGCTTCAAGCCTTGTCACTTGCCACTCTTGACCTTCAACTGACATGAAGGGTGGGGAGGGGACAGAGCCTGAGGCCAGGGATTCTAAAGGCGGAGCCAGAAGCACCCCGATGAGCCTGGGGAGGGAGAGCAAGGAGGGGTGCTGGGTGGGCACAGAAGGGGAGTCCTGTAGGGTTCCTGTTAGACCCTGGCAGCCTGCAGAGCTGTAGGATTTGGGGGTACAGAAGAGAGGGCACGTGGGGGTCCTCTGTGCCTCCAGAGATCTCTGTGGGATTTTGGTGTGGGAAGGATGACTTTTGGGCCGGGTTGGGGGCCTTGCGGGATGCGCTGATGCAGAGGTTTGTTTGAATCAGACTCTTCTCCCATACAGAGGCCAT